CTTGTGTTGATGGAAAGATTGAGGTTTGTAAAGTCTGAATGGAATCGGTTGTCAATTTCCCGTCTTATGAGCTTCATGGATATTCAAAATTTTGACCCTTTGTCGGGGAGGTAGCAGAAGGATTGAGCCGATATATGCCATTTTTACACCAGACCTTGGATTGATGAAAATATTTCGATGTGTGAAATGTGAAGACAATCGGACTCTTACATCACACTTTATAAGAGTTATAATTATTCAAAATTTTGACCCTTTGTGGGTCAGTGGACCGATATTGTCCATCTTCTCATGTGACCTAGCACTGAAAATGTTGGGATTTGCAAAATTGGAAGAAAATCGGATTATTCTTTCTCTTTTTGTGCAGTAAAATATTTTTTTCGAAAATTCCAATGTTTTTGGGGGAGGTACGAGAAGGAGTGGACTGATATTGCCCATCTCCGAACTCGAACTAAGTTTCATAATATATCACGATATATACAAAGAGGACCTTAGAGTGAATTTTCATTTTTATTTATTTTCATTCTATAGCTCATCCTCGAGTCGCCTTCACCACAGCGGCTGTATACCCCCCATCCGACTTCCATAATAAAAAAAATAAATGATTGCTAATTTTTTCTCTCTCCATTATTATTGTTATCCACAATTCAATGACTGCGAGTATTTTGTTAAATGTTATAACAATTGTAGATATTTTTTACAAAACATAAATCCCACAGCAGACCATTCCATGACCATTTCAATTGAAACAAACACTTGTTTCAATTCAGCCGTCGGCATCAGCAGCACCACCAGCATCCAACTGATGTCAGCAGCAGTATCGGGGCTTATTTTTTGCCAACAAATAAATTCGAGTGTCAGCTGGGGCCAGTATTTATGAGCTGGCAGCTCAAATGAGTCGGCTAGGCTGCAAGTTATGTTTCATAGCCACCAGGGCATTCAACAGCACAAGCATTGTTGGTGTTGTTGTTGCTGTTGTTCTACAGCTCGTATATGACCATAGGAATATTATTAGCAAAACATTTTATTTGCAATTGATATTGTTGTAATTTATATGTAGTTTTTAATATTCTTTTTGTTATTGTTGTTGTTAATTTTTTTCTAAAAGACCCCTACCTTTATTTTCTTCACCATTCTATATCATATTGGGACTTTGACATTTTACCAATTGACATGAATTTGGTTTTCTTTTTTTGTGGCGGTCCTACTTGTTGTTATGTTTTCCGAAGCTAAGAAGGTTGGACACTTGACAGAGTGTGTTCTCTGGCCGCATGGCTAATGAAATATTAACAGAAGTGAACAAGACGGGAAAAAAAGCAACACAAACTACTCCAACAATGTTCTCCCACATTCACAATGAGGCCATTTAGGAGTTTTGACAAACCAAAAATGAAAATTGAAAAAAATATTGATTGGAACATTGTACAAAAGTTGTCAATAAGTGCACAATTGGGACATTGGGTTGCGAAGAATGGGGTTTCAATCGGTTCTTAGAAAATAAAATGGTTAGGAACGAATAATAATAAGATTATCCAAAAGACAAAAATAACCATGGAATAGAAAACTTGGAGTACTTCGCCTCTTATGCGGAGTATTTGGTCTTAAAGATCTCTATTTTAGGGTAGTTGAGGAGTATCAACTATATAGAAACTGGACCCTGAACCCAATATGGTACTGTAACTACGTAACATAGCGAGATTTGCTGGCAATAGAGGCCACCAATGTAGAATAGCTGATACCAGAAGTCACTTCTGGTGAGTAGATGCCCTTAGTTTTATGGAGTGACTGGGCTCAGAGGTTTCAGCTGTGGAGTGTCTGGGCTCATAGATAGGTATTGCAAGGTAGCTGGCTTTCGATACCACTGCTGTTGAATAGCTGGCATCTGAGGCATCTAGTGTTGAATAATTGGCTTCAGAGGTCATTGCTATAGAGCCTCAAAAGCCAGAACTAAAACTCTGCTGGCCTCAGAGATCGCTACTGAAGAGTAGCTGACTTCAGAGATCGCTACTGAAGAGTAGCTGACTCCAGATGCAGCTACAGTAGAGTAGTTATTATTGAGTCAGCGATCGCTAATATAGCCTCACATGTCGTTGCTGTAGAGCAGCTAGCCTCAGAGGTCCCTACTTTCGAGTAGATGGCCTCAGTGGTCGCTAATGTGAAGTAGCTGTCCTCAGTGGACGCTACTGTAGATTACTGGTCCTCGGTCCTCTCACTATTGTAGAGTAAATAGCCTCACAGGTCGTTGCTGTAGAGCAGCTGATCTCAAAGTTCGCTACTGTAGAGTAAGTTGACTCAGAGTTCTTTACTGAAGAGTAGCTGTACTCAGCGGTCGCTACTGCAGAATAGGTGGACTCAGAGGTCTCTACTGTAGAGAAGCTATCCTAAGAGATCGCTAGTGTGTAGCTGCTAGCCTAGTCGCTACTTTAGATAAGTTGGCCTCAGAGACCTCTGATGTCGAGGATTTAAAGTAGTGACCTTAGATGTCGCTGCTGTAAGTTAGCCTCATAGGTCGCCACTGTAGATTAGCTAGCCTTAGAGGCCACTAATGCAGAACAGACCTCCGAGGTTGCCACTATGGGGTAGCTGGCCTCAAAAGTCTCTACTGTAGAGTAGATTGCCTTAAAGGACGTAGAGAAGCTATCCTCAAAGGTCTCTGCTGTAGAGGTACCAACTGTGGAGTAGCTGACCTCAAACGTCGCTGCTGTAGAGCAGCTACCGGCAAAGGCCGCTTATCTGGAGAAGCTGGTCTCAGAGGTCGCTACTGAAGGTTAGCTGGCCTCAGAGGGTTCTACTGTTGAGTAGCAGGTCTTAGAAGTGGTTGATGTATTGTAGCTCGTCTTAGAGGTCACTAAGGTAGAGAAGCAGGCCTCCGAGGTCGCTGCTATAGAGTAGGAGACCTCAGAGTTCTTTACTTAAGAGTACTTGTACTCAGGGGCCGCTACTGTAGAGTAACTGCCCTCGTAGGTCTACACTGTAAAGTACCTGACCTCAGAGGGCTCCACTGTTGTGTAGCTGGCCTCAGAGCGCCAGTACTCGGAGGCCACTAATGTAGAGTAGCAGGCCTCCGAGGTTGCTACTTCCTTCAGGGGTCGCTGCTGCAGAGTTGCTGTCCTCAGAGTCCACGATTCTAGCCCCAAGGGTTCCCTAGAAACTTTTCTGTGAAAGTCCACAAGTCAAGTCCTCCAAGGTTCTTCAAGAAATTTCTTAAAGGGCCCAACGATTCTTTTAAGAAACTATCATGGTTCTCCCTCCACAACTGGCCTCTGGAAAATTTCCTTAAAAAATTCACTGTGGTAGCCCTCATGGTTTTCCAGAAAATGTGCTTTGAACATTTTCGATTTAGGCCTCATGTTCCTCCAGTCTCAACTGGCTTTCCAGAAAATGTCCTTTGAACATTTTCGATTTAGGCCCCATGGTCCTCCGGTCTCAACGGGTTTTCCAGAAAATGTCCTTTGAACATTTTCGATTTAAAAATTTCCATTAAAAGTTCACGATTGTGGGTCCATAGTTCCCATAAAATTTCCTTGGAAAGTCCACGATTATAGCCCCAATGATATCTTTAAAAGTCCACGATTGTAGCTCTCATGGTTCAAGAAAAAAAATTCTTGTAAATGTTTTCAATTAAAGTCCTCATCATTCTCCAGAAAATTGTCTTTAAAAGTTCCAGATTGAACCACATATGGCTCAATGAACTTCACATGAATAGTTCAATAGCTACTCCAGAAAACGTCCTTAAAAGGTGACACGATTGTAGCCCCAATGGTTCCCTTGAGATTTTCACTTTAAACTTTACGATTTAAACTCTCATAGTTCTCCAGTAAAATTCCTTATAAATTCCACTATTGTAGCCTTCAGGGTTCTCCAGAAAACATCCTTTAAAATTCCTTAGCCCTTATGATTCTCCATAAAATTTTCTTTCAAATTTCAATCAAAAGTCCACGATTGTTTCGTGAAATTTTCCTTTAAAAGTCCACTGTCATTGCCCTCAATGCTTCCCAGAAAAATTCCTTTCAAAATCCTCGACTGTAGTCCACTTGGATCTCCAGAAAAATTTCTTTAAAATTTCACAATTGTGGCTCTAATGATTGTCCGGAAAATTTCCTTTAAAGATCCTCGTAGCTTGCCTCATGGCTCTTTACGAAAATGTCCTTAAAAGTCCACAATAGGATAGTCGCTGTCCTCAGATGCCGCAACTATAGATCTGCAGAACTCAGAAGTCGCTACTGAAGTGTAGCTGTCTCCATATGTCGTTATTGTGGATTAGCTGGCCTCATAGATTGGTGCTATAGAGTAGCTGGCTCCAGAAGTCGCTGCTGTAGAGAAGCTGGCATTAGAGGTCGTAATCTCTTCAAGATTACAGCTCAAATAATACTTAAAAAAAATATCTGTATTTTCTTCGTGCCACCCTAATATCCACCTTCCATATTCGCCTAACATGAATTATGTTCGAAAAACAAACTAAACATGGCTAAATGTATGTTGTTCTAACTCAATTTACAAAGTCAACAGAAATGTGCAACAACCACAACAACAGCAGCAGCAGCAACAGAAATCAATTGAAAGACAAAAAACAAAACTCCCCCACCTCCTACTTCTCCTCCCCCCAAATTTAGAAACAAATGACGACATTTACTGAACTCAGGAGAGGAGATAGCAAAACACAATTAAATTGTGAATATTGTTTCATTGCTTATAAGTTTAACTGCCATTGTTGTTGCCACTCTTATTGTTGTTGTTGTTGCACACAACAACATACCACAACAATGCTATAAATGTTGTTATATACAAAAAAAAATTAACATGTGTTAAAAGCGTTTTTTTTTCTCTCTTCTACTTCTATTTATTCTTGTTGTAGCGAGCTTTTTTTATGTTGTTATTGTTAATAATAACTACTCTATACAAAACATAAAACGAACAATAACAACAACAAAAAAACCAACATTTATTGACATATTTATATTTTTTTCTTTCATTTTTTCCATTTTTTTTTTTTTTTTTTGCAGTGTTTAAACGTCATGACATTTCCATGCACCAAGCACCAACACCAAATATAGGATTTTCAAAGGTGAGTCATAGAAACACATTTTGGAAACAAAAAATTGAATTTGCAACTGTAACCTCTATTACCAAAAAAAAATATGAAGAAAAAATGACAAAAATAACAACATAACAACAACTGGAAAAATAACGAAATAAACCAAAAAAACACACAAATTAGCTTTTTTGTGGAAGGAAAATCATCTTGGCCACTGCCATTGAGAGATGAGGCACAGTGGAACAGCTCTGGAAAATTTTGAAAGAAATTGTTTAAAATATCCACGATTGGGGTGCTGATTGGTATTTAGAAATATAAAAAAAGTAATTTATAAAAGTGAAAGAGAAGAGAACCGATTGGACCCTGGAAAAATAATCTTTTAAAATTTATTATTTTTTTATCAAGATTCTAATTCTTATGGTTCTTGAAAAAAAATTTTCTACCAATTAAAAAATCTTGAAAAAAAAATTGTTTCAAAGAACATCAGGGCCCTCAGAGGCCTCTCCTGTAGACTAGCTGGCTTCTACTGTAAATTAGCTAACCCCAGATGTCGCTACTGTGGGTTAGCTGGCTTCAAAGGTCTTTACAATAGTGTTCTGTCCGAAACCTACTGTGAAGTAGCTGACATCAGGGACATCTACTGTAAGACAGCTGGACTCAGAGATCTTCAAAGTGGAGTAGCTGGCCTCAACTTTAGAGTTACTGTCCTCCGAGGCCACTACCGTAAAGTAGCTTACAATAGTGATCACTACTAGGTAGTCTTCTAGCTATTCTCTGAAGCCTCTCCTGTTGAGTAGCTAACACTAGAGATCGCCACTGTTGAGTAGCTGGCCTCAGAGATCTCTACTGTAGAATAGCTGACTATAAATGCCTTAATTGTAGAGTACCTTACCTGAGAAGCCTGTATTGTTGAGTAGCTGGTCTCAAAGGCCTCTACTGTAGAGTAGCTAAACTTTACTGTTGTCTCAGAAATCGCCACTGCTAAGTAGATGGCTTCAGAAGCTGCTACTGTAGGGTAGCTGACCTCAGAGACCTCTACTGTAGAATAGTTGGCCACAAATGTCACTACTGTTGAGTAGCTACCCTCAGAGGTCGCTACTGTAGGGTAGCTGGCCTCATAGAACTCTACTGTAGACAAGCAAGAATTCAGAAGCATCTGTACAGCATTTAGCCTCAGAGGTCGCTAATGTAGAGTACTTGGCCTTAGACGTCGCCACAGTTGAGTAGCTGGCCAAAGAGGTCGTCGCTGTTGACTAGCAGGCGTCAGAACCCTCTACTGATAGGTAGGGCTAACCTCAGGGACCTCTGTTGTTGAGTAGCTGACCTCAGAGGCCGCGCCTGTAGAGTATCTGGCCTCAGAAGTCTCAACGGAGAGTAGCTGATCTTAGAGGCCTCAAATGTAGAATATCTGGCTTCCGAAGCCTCTACTGTAGAGCACCTGGCCCCAAATAGCCCTCTACAGTAGAGTAGCTGGCCTCAGAAGTCTCAATGGAGAGTAGCTGGCCTTAGAGGCCTCTAATGTAGAGCAACTGGTCTCAGAGGTCGCTACTGTTGAGTGGCTGGCCTCAGTGGTCGCCACTGTTGAGCAGCTGGCCTTAGAGGTCTCCCTTTAAGTAACTGGCCTCAGACGTCAGATGAGGCCTCCACTGTAGAGTACGCTTCTACTTCTTAGGTGAGGCTACTTTTGCGTAGCTGGTCTCAAAGTCGCCACTGTCGCTACTGTAGAATAGCTCCCCTCAGAGGCCGTTACTGAAGAGTTTCTGGCCTCATAGACCACTAGTGTAGAATACCTGGTCACTGTGGCCTCTGCTGTAGAGTAGCTGGCCTAGAGACCTCTTCTGTAGAGAGGTATCTTCTGCAGAGTAGCTTGACTCAGAGGTCTCTACTGTAGAGTAGCTGGTCTCTACTCTGGAGTAACTAGCCTCAGAGGTCCCAGAGCCCTTCACAGTAGTGGAGCTGGTCTTAGAGCCTACTGCTGAAGACTACCTGTCCTCAGAGGTCGCTACTATAAAGTAGTTGGTCCCAGAAAGCCCTATAGAAGGTAAGTTAACCTCAGAGTCCTCTATTTTAAAGTGGCAGGCCCGAGATGACTCTATTTTAGAGTAGCTGGCCTCAGAGGCCTCCACCGGAGTGTAGCTGGCTTCAAAAACTGCAGTAGAGTAGTTGACCCCAGTGATGTCTACTGTAAAGTGGCTGTCGTCAGAGGTCCCTAGCGCAGCGTTCTTGGTTCTAGAGATATCAACCGTACGCCACCGTTCAGTGGCTAGACTCACAGACCTCTATTGTAGAGTATGCCGACTTAGGGGCCTCTACAGTGTAGAACTTGGTTGGGAAACATCTATCGTTGAATTCATCTACGGTGTAAAAACGTATCTCAGTGACATCTACTGTAGAATAGCTAACCTTAGAACCACCACAAAGGAGTAGTTGACCTCAAAAGCCACTACTGTGCAGTAGATGGCTCTAGAGTCTAGTAGCTGGACAGAGGCGGCTTATGGCTTAGGAAGCCATATCATAGTCCATAAAATACGGATAGGTAGATCTCTAAAGGAATTTTCTTATAATTCTTAAAATTTTTACCCGTCCCACTGTGCCTCAAATAACTTCCATGACCCCCATCACCAATTACTTCTTACTTTGTTGTTCGTTTTCCATGGTTTTGATTACTTTACGCCGACATCAAGCCACCAGCCTGCCATATGCCGTCGGAGTCAGGAAAACAATTTGAACTTTGTGTGTTGTTCGCTTCGTTTTTTAGAGAAATTATTACCAGGAGCAAACATAACAGAAATCTCCCCCACTCTCTGCCAAGTGGATCCATCAGTTGGAATGATGAGAAAACAACAATTGGAAAAATTCCTAAGAAATTCTGAACATGGAAGCCGAGTGGACTCCCCCATCTACCGGGTATTAACATGGAATTTCATTGATTTTCCCAAAATGTCTGGCTATGGTAATGATGATGATGCGACAGCAGGTTCCTCTGCTCCGCCACTGCTGTGTGGGGGGAGGAGGGCTGGGTAGAAGCTTTCATTAACTCCAATCCAAATTGTGAAAATTTTCAGTGACTTTTTGTGTCAGTTTTGTTTGGCTTTAAGCCAAACAAAGGAAAAAATGGAACCAAGTCCGATTAGAATGGCTTAGAATTTAGTTGGAATTGTTGGCCTTCAGAAAAATAAAAAAAAAATCTTTTGAAGTTCTCTTGAGGCAAAACCAAATGGTTGCCTAAAACCATAACTACACATACCCACTTCCTTGCTCCGTATGGAAACTGCCAGGGCAGTTATCCATTTTTTCCCTCCATCTGTCAAAGTGCTGTCTCAGCCACATAAATGACAATCATTCTTAGGAAACAACTCTATTAAGTCAGAAGTCCCCAATTGGCTTTGTTGTTGTTGTTTCTTTTTTTGGGTTGCGTTGACATTTACATATCAGAAAACTAAATTCCAAGGAAGTATTTAAAAGTGGCACCCCAAAAACCCCGAGTAAACACCCAAATGGAAAAAATGGAAACTGAAATTGAATGGTCAAAACCTCCACTTAAAAAGTGTTGGTGTTGTAGGAGTAGTATCAAGGAAACCTATCCTGTTTTGTTGTTATTGATTTCTGAAACTATGTCTAGCCAGGCAGGCATGGCAAGTGAATGGCTACTGGGTTAAGCACCAGGCCATAGCCTAACTGGTCTGGCCACACCAGGCCAGTTCACTTGAATTGAGGGAAAATGAAATTGTTTATTAGCAGACCTTGACGTTGTGGCCAAACTAAGTGACTGAGTGAAGGAGATTGATCACAAATCGATAACAGGCCAACCAGAAAATACAACAAAAAAAACAAGGCACAAAAACCAACAAAAACCCCCCATTCGTGACCACCGTAAATATGTAGATTGAATTCCCTTTTTCTCAAACAAATAAACAAAGCCCCACACTAAAATTCATAGGCCATTTGTGGTTTTGGCAAAAAAAATTGTAGTTTATTTACTATGTGTGGTGATTTATGGTTTTAATATGGCCCTAACACTCTATGGCCAGACCCATTACCTAGGTCTTAAATTTATGGCCAATAAATTTAATTAATGTATTCTTTTCCATTTTTTTCTTTTCTTTCCATAGGCTTTATCCGGTTTCCTAATGATGCTAACCCAAAATGGCAAACTGTTATACATTTCCGATAATGCGGCGGAGTATTTGGGCCATTCAATGGTAAGTGGAAAATTAATCAAATATTTAAATGAATAATATGCGCATTAAAATTCAGCATATCATACGCCAACAAATTTCGGCATTCGAACTAATTTAGTAGAATTGTTACTTCTTTTTAACTAATCCGCCCCTAAATAAGTAGTGAGTGCAAATTCTTTTCCAAAACCAAACTGAGTTTTTTGTAAGAGAGCGGTGAAAAAGAGAGACTAAAACTCATCTCAATCATCTTCTCTTTCACACATAAATGAATTCCTTAGGTCCAAAGAGATATAACTCCATTACCATTTTAATTTCAATAGTGTAAAGTATAGGTCTCTACTGTTAATAAGCTGAAGTCCTAGGTTTTACTGTGGTGAGGCTGGCCTCAGAGGCTACACTGCAGAGTATCTGCCTTTACAGTCCCCCACCGTAGAGTAGCTGGTCTCCAAGGCCTCTACTTCAGCATAACTAGTCTCAGAGGTCTCTAAAGTTGACTAGCTGGCCTCAGAGGTCGCTAGTGTTGAGCAGCTGGCCTCCAAAGCCTCCAGTGTAGAGCAGCCTGCTACTCTAGAAGTGTTAGACTCAGTGGCCTTTACTGTTGAGTAGCTGACCTCAGACTCATCTTCTGTGCAGTAGATGGCTTCAGAGATCACTACAGTGGATTAGCTAGGTATTACCGTTAATTAGGTCAGCTACTCAGTGGCCTCTACTGTTGAGTAGCTGAACTCAGACTCCTCTTCTGTTCAGTAGATGGCTTCAGATACCACTACAGTGGAGTAGCTAGGTATTACCGTTGATTGGATGGCCTCAGAGGCATCAACAATGGAGAATCTGGTCTCAGTGACCTCTGCTACAAATTGACTTACCTCGGAGGCCTCTACTATTGAGTAGTTGACCTGAGTGAGCTCTACTGATAAGTAGCTTGCCTTGGCGGCCTCTATTGCTACATAGGTGCCCTCAGAACCTCAACTGTGGAGTAGATGACGCCAGAGGAAACTACTTTACAGTGCCTGGCATCAGAGGTATCTTCTGAACAGTACTTGGTCTCAGTGACCAATACGACAAATTGGCTCGGCGGCCTACACCGTTGCGTTGCTAACAGAGGGGCATATGCTGTTGAGTAGGTGGTCTCAGAGGCATCTATTGTTGAGTAGGTTACCTCAGAGGCCTCTACTGTAGAAAAGCTGAACTCACAGGACTTTATTAAAAACTAGTTGACATCAGAGGCCTATAATGTAGGCCTCTGGCCTCTGTTGTAGAGTAGCTGGTCTCGGATACCTCAACTTTAGAGTAGCTCACTTCAAAGACATCTACTGTGGAGTAGCTGACCGCAGAGGTCTCTACTGTAGAGTAGTTGGTCTCAAAAACCTCTACTGTAGAGTAGCTGGCTTCAGAGACCTCTTCTATGAAGTAGTTGGGCTAAGAGGTCTCTCCTGTAGTGCAGCTGCGTTCAGAGGCCTTTATTGTAGAGTAGCTGGCCTGTACAATGGAGTAGCTGGCCTCAGAGGCATCTACTGTAGAATAGCTGGTCTCAGAGACCTCTACTTTAGAGTAACTGGCGTTTGAGGCCTCTACCGTAGAGGAGCTGGTCTAAGAGACTTCTACTGTAGAGTATCTGGCTTATGAGGCATCTACTGAAGTGTAGCTGGCCATAGAGGCCTTTACTGCAGACTAACTGGTCTCAGAGGCCTCTATTGTTGAGTAGCTAAATTTACAGGCTTCAACTGTAAAGACCTGTACTGGTCAGAGTAAGGCCAGCTACGGCGGAGTAGTTGGCATTAAAGGGCACAGTGGTGGGCTGGAATCACCTCAAGTGTTGAGTTGGTGGACTTTAGGGGCTTATATTGTGGAGAAACTGACCACAGATACATCTATTGATGAATAACCTAGATTCTATTGTGGATAAACTCAGATTGACCTCTAGTGTAAAATAGCTGCTCTAACAACCACTACACAAGATCAGTTGGACTCAGAAGCCTCTTCCAACACCTGGGCTTTAAAAATATTTTAAAAAGTCTACGACTGATGACCAATATCGGGGCTCTAAAAATTCTTTAAAAATCCACGACTGGTGACCGATATCAGGGCTCTAAAAATTCTTTAAAAAATCCACGACTGATGACCGATATCGGGGCTCTAAAAATTCTTTAAAAAATCCAAGCCCGATGACCGAATTCGGGTCTCAAATTTTTTTTTTTAAAAAAATCCACGTCGGATGACCGATATTGGGGCTCTAAAAATTCTTTAAAAAATCCAAGCCCGATGACCGATATCGGGGCTCTAAAAATTCTTTAAAAAATCCACGACTGATGACCGATATCGGGGCTCTAAAAATTCTTTAAAAAATCCACGACTTATGACCGATATCGGAGCTTTAAAAATTCTTTAAAAAATCCACGACTTTTGACCAATATAGGGGCTCTAAAAATTCTTTAAAAAATCCACGACTGATGACCGATATCGGGGCTCTAAAAATTCTTTAAAAAATCCACGACTGATGACCGATATCGGGGCTCTAAAAATTCTTTAAAAAATCCACGACTTATGACCGATATCGGGGCTCTAAAAATTCTTTAAAAAAACCACGACTTATGACCGATATCGGGGCTTTATCGGGACATATGCTCCTCGAAAAATTCTTTAAAAAAATTCACGCCTGATGATAAACATCTGATCCTCGAAAAAATTCTTAAAAAATCGACGCCTGATGATAAATGTCTAATCCTCGAAAATAATTTTTAAAAAAAATGCACGCCTGAAACAAACATCTGAGCCTCGAAAAATTCTTTAAAAAATCCGCGTAAGATGACCAACATCTGAGTCTCAAAAAATTCTTTAAAAAATCCGCGTAAGATGACCAACATCTGAGTCTCAAAAAATTCTTTAAAAAATCCGCGTAAGATGACCAACATCTGAGTCTCAAAAAATTCTTTAAAAAATCCGCGTAAGATGACCAACATCTGAGTCTCAAAAAATTCTTTAAAAAATCCGCGTAAGATGACCAACATCTGAGTCTCAAAAAATTCTTTAAAAAATCCGCGTAAGATGACCAACATCTGAGTCTCAAAAAATTCTTTAAAAAATCCGCGTAAGATGACCAACATCTGAGTCTCAAAAAATTCTTTAAAAAATCCGCGTAAGATGACCAACATCTGAGTCTCAAAAAATTCTTTAAAAAATCCACGCCTGATGACCAACATCTGAGCCTCAAAAAATTCTTTAAAAAATCCACGCCTGATGACCAACATCTGAGCCTCAAAAAATTCTTTAAAAAATCCACGCCTGATGACCAACATCTGAGCCTCAAAAAATTCTTTAAAAAATCCACGCCTGATCACCAACATCTGAATCTCAAAAAATTCTTTAAAAAATCCACGCCTGATGACCAACATCTGAGCCTCAAAAAATTCTTTAAAAAATCCATGCCTGATGACCAACATCTGAGCCTCAAAAAATTCTTTAAAAAATCCACGACTGGTGACCGATATCGGGGCTCTAAAAATTCTTTAAAAAATCCAAGCCCGATGACCGAATTCGGGTCTCAAATTTTTTTTTAAAAATTCTTTAAAAAATCCACGACTGATGACCGATATCGGGGCTCTAAAAATTCTTTAAAAATCCAAGCCCGATGACCGAATTCGGGTCTCAAAATTTTTTTTTAAAAAAATCCACGCCGGATGACCGATATCGGGGCTCTAAAAATTCTTTAAAAAATCCACGACTGATGACCGATATCGGGGCTCTAAAAATTCTTTAAAAAATCCACGACTGATGACCGATATCGGGGCTCTAAAAATTCTTTAAAAAATCCACGACTTATGACCGATATCGGGGCTCTAAAAATTCTTTAAAAAACCACGACTTATGACCGATATCGGGGCTTTAAAAATTCTTTAAAAAATCCACGACTGATGGCCGTTATCGGGGCTTTAAAAATTCTTAAAAAAATCCAGGCGTGATGACCGATATCGAGGATCTAAAAATTCTTTAAAAAATCCACGACTTATGACCGATATCGGGGCTTTAAAAAATCCACGCCTGATCACCGATATCGGGAATCTAAAAATTCTTTAAAAAATCCACGCGTATGACCTGGCATATGGGCCTTAAAAATTATTTAAAAAATCCACGCCAATAGGGTGTCATGTGGGCTTCAAAAATTCTTTAAGAAATCCACGCCTGATGACCAAAATCTGGGCTTTAAAAAATCCACGCTTTTTTTCTCCCTTCCAATTAATAATTTACCCTTAGGCATTAAAAGTAAAATAATTTCAATTTAAAAAATAACATTTCCCAAAAAACACTTTAACTCCATTATCAGTTTGATATTCATAATGACCCCCTTTTTGGGGAGAAGTATAACTTCTCGTAGTGTTCAAAGTGTCAATAGTTCAAATTCAATTTTACCAGTTCATAATTAATACCCAGTTTGCAACGACGTCAAATAAAACAAAAAAAAGCAATACCCTTTCAAAGTTTTATAACTTATCAATAAATCTTGGATATGTGGCTTTTGGCAATGGCCGGGACGGGCCAAGCCAGGCCGGGGCCAGGCCAAGTCAAATCAAGCGGGCTAAAGCGGCAGCAGCAACAGCCTCAATGGCAGACACACAAGCGACACACCCAAATGAATTGGGAATTCGTCGGTGTTTTACATATCATTTTTTCTAGTTCACCTATTGCAGAGGGATAGACAAACAGACATACATAGAGACTTACATATATATGTATGTTTACTGGTGGTGTAGTTGGTTGTACAACTTGAGAGTTTGAGGGGGAAGTTTTTAGTTTCGGTGGGCCAAGTACTTTTTTAATTTACTTAAGTCGCAACATTTCCTTTTTGGCAACTCTAAGACAAAACCCCAAAATTATGGACTGGTTGGGACAACACCACCAATAACAACAACAACCATTCATAAAATATGTGTTTTCTTGTTGTTATTGTTGCTGGCTAGCCTTTGATGATATTCAAATAAATATGCCGTTGACCAGGACCACAAAATTGAGTGAGGTTTTGACACAAAGCCCATTTGCGGCATAAAAGCTTGTGTTGCAGTTGTTGTTATTTCTGATGTTGATGTTGTTGTTGTTACCAGTTTCTTGTTCTTCAAATGCAATTTTTAATTTTAGCAAAAATAATTGAAGTGGCTGCCCGCCGCTTTGCTATTTTGTCCGTTGTGTTATTCTTCATAAGCCGGGCTGTTACTTGGTTAAATTTATGGCCTGTCTTTGTGGAGCTGGTCATAGGTTTAATTCCATTTGGCATATTCCAACGACATGCCACTAGTCTTGGTGTCTAGGCAAAGCCAAGGAGAGAGAGGGAGAAAAAAAGAATTTATCATAACTATGACATAATAGAACAGTTTAATTAAATGGTGTCTCAAGGCGTGTCCTCGTCATCATCATTGTCTTTGGCGTTGGCTAACAATTTGCCGGGACTGGCCATAGAGCAGTTTAGCAGCCATCCCAAAAAAAAAAAATTGTTTGGTTATATTCTATGGAAGATCCTTGATTGGTAGGAGAATTCATTGTCGGACTCCTGGTTTTGACATTTCCATAAATGAAATGTGAATGCCAATTAGTGCAGTTATGACATTTATTGTCAGGCGTTATTTGGAGTGTGTCAGACCAACGATGATATGACCTGGGGATAGATGCCAAGAAGTAATAAAAAAGAGTTGAGATTTAAAAAATAACAAAAAATCGGAAAAAATTATCAGACATAAATAAAACCCAAACAAAACAAAAGACTTAAGACACAAACTCGTTTATACTCAGAAAGCCATTGGAAGAAGTAGAATTGCTACATAATCTCAAAAATGAAATCTATAGCTAGATGACCTCCGTAAAGTCTTCCAAGGTTGGAAAACCTTTACAGGATCTTCTCTTTTGAGAAGACTTACCTAACGTCTATTTCATAGAGTATTTTTGGCCTAAGGTATTTAATTGAGAAAAGGCCTCCAAACTAGGTCTCCGAGACTTTTTTCAAAAAACGGACGAGCCCCTAAACACTTCTGAAGGGAGAACTCTTAGAGGACTTTCATAGACAAAAGTTTCTAAGTGGAATTCTATAGACAGAAATCTGTGAAAGTTCTTCTATAAATGAAAAAAACCTCTCAGAAATGCCTTTCGAAATCATTTCAGGGGTGGCTCAAACAATAAAATATGAGATTTTCAGCCTAGAAAAAAAATCCACGCCTGATGGCCAATATCTGAAGCTAGAAAAATTCTTTAAAAAGTCCACGTCAATAGGGTGTTATGTGGACTTCAAAAAATCTTTAAAAAGTCCACACCCAAAGGGTGTTATGAGGACTTCAAAAATTCTTTAAAAAGTGCACGCCCATAGGGTGTCATGTGGACGTGAAAAATCCACGCCTGTAGGGTATCATATGTAAAATCAGGGCCCTCAAAATTCTAAAAAAAATCTACGCATCATGGCCGACTCCTGTGCCTTAAAAATTCTCTATGAAATCCAGGTCTGTTGAACAACATCTAAGCCTCGAAAAAATCTTTAAAAAATCCATGCCTGATGACCAACGTCTTAGCCTCGAAAAATTCTTTAAAAAATCCACGCCAGATGACCAACATCTAAACCTCGAAAAATTCTTTAAAAAATCCACGCTCGATGACCAACATGTGAGCCTCGAAAAAATTCTTTAAAAAATCCATGCCTAATGACCAACATCTGAGCCTCGAAAAATTCGTTTCGTGACCGAAGTCTGGGCTTTAAAAATTCTTTAAAAAAATCCACAACTTTTGCCCAAATTCTGGGCTTCCGAAATTATTTCAAGGTGGCTCAAACAATAAAAAATGAGGTTTTTAAGCTACATTGCCACTCTGGTTTCTTCGGTGAGATAGAATGCCTTATGGACTTTAAAAGCTCTTCCACAGATAGAAGGCCTATAAAAGCTCTTCCAGGGATATGAGACATTTTAAAGCTCTCCTATGGCTAGAAGACATTTAAAAGCTCTTCTATGGCCAGAAGACTTTTAAAAGCTATTCTATGAATAGAAGACATTTAAAAGCTCTTCCAGGAATATAAGACCTTTCAAAGCTCTTCTATGAATAGAAGACCATATAAAGTTATTCTATAGATAGAAAATATTTTTAAGCTCTCCTTTGACCAGAAGACCTTTTAAAGCTCTTCTATGACCAGAAGTCCTTTTAAAGCTTTTCTATGACCAAAAGACCTTTTAAAGCTCTTCTATGACCAGAAGTCCTTTTAAAGCTTTTCTATGACTAGAATAACTTTTAAAGCTCTTCCATGAATAGAATATAGTTTAAAGCTTTTCAATGACTAGAAGACCTTCAAAAGCTCATCTATGACCAGAAGACCTTTTAAAGCTCTTCTATGATCAGAAGACCTTTTAAAGCGCTTCTATGACCATAAGACCTTTTAAAATTCTTCAATGACCAGAAGACCTTCTAAAGCTTTTAAAGCTCTTACATGAATAGAAGATAGTTTAAAGCTTTTCAATGACTAGAAGACCTTCAAAAGCTCAACTATTGATAGAAGACCACCAAAAGCTCTTCTATAGATGGAAGACCTGTCAAGCTCTTCCATGAGTAGAAAACATTTCTATAAGTAGACAGTCATTTACAGCTCTTCTGTTAAACTGTTAAAGCTTTTCTACGAATACCTGTTAAAGCTCTTCTATGAAGACCTTTTAACGCTTTTATATGAAGACCTGTTAAAACTCTTCCATAAATACATGTTAAAGCTCTTCTATGAAGACCTGTTAAAGCTCTTCTATGAAGACCTTTTAACGCTTTTATATGAAGACCTGTTAAAACTCTTCCATAAATACATGTTAAAGCTCTTCTATGAAGACCTGTTAAAGCTCTTCTACGAAGATCTTTTGAAGCTATTTCCAGAAGGGCTTCTAGAGTTACACTATGAAGACCTTCTAAAGCTCTTTTATTAATAGACCTTTTAAAGAGATTTGAAAACCAGTCCTTTTAAAACTCTTATATGGCCAAGAGACCCTTCTAAGCTTTTCTATTAATGTAAGACATTTTAATAAAAATATAAGATCTTCTCTAAACTTCATTGATATTTCTATGGTTGGAGGACCTCAGGAAGCCCTGCTAAAGCTCTTCTTATATGGATGTTTAATTACAATTTAATACTATTCTCTTATCATTAATTTTTTTTATTTTTTCTCTCTTCCCAGGAGGACCTTCTCATCCATGGCGATTCGGTGTACGACATCATCGATAAACAAGATCACTCTGCCATCCAAGCCGAACTCAACCGCAATGTGCCACCACAGCCTGGACAACATATCAATTCGGCCGCGGCAGCTGCAGCGGCAATATCCAATTTGGAGGGGGAACATCGAATGTTTTTGTGCCGCATGAATGTCAGTCGCAACGCTCGCAGACAAATGCGTTTTGGCGATCAAAAGGTAAGTCTGCATCGATTGGCTGATGCCAAAAAATGTGCGATAAAATTACTTGGCGGCGAGAAAATCTTTATTAATATTTTTTCCGCTGTGTCTCTTATCTTCGTGGCTTTGGAAACAAAAATAAAAAGTTTCATCTCTTGAATAAATCATGAAGATGTTGGGGGGAGATATGAAGAATATTTTTTCTGTTTTATGCAGACTCATACATATGCATGTATGTGTGAGGGTGTGGGAGGGGGGAGAAGAGGGCCACAAAAAGGATTTTTATGATTTAATAAAGATAAGATTAAATATTTTTAAAAACTAATGAAATATTTATGGAAAGAAGAGGGATTGCGATTGCGTGTTAAGGCCATGCGCCACAATGAGAAGCCATGCGCCATCGTTGCATCAGCATTTCGAAATGCCAGGCTGTAATTTCGATTTTCAATTCAGTGAGGCACGTTAATAAGTGAGTTAGTTAATTAAAAGCAATAGATACAATTTCGTACCTAAATTAAAAATGGAAAATTGAGAGTGTTAGGCACTCCCAGATTTGAAAACCTAAAATTATTCTCTTCATTTTGGAGTTTCAAATTTTATTATTATTATTTTTTTTTTTTGTTTTAAAGGAAATTAATTTCAAATTTTGTCTTGGTTCCAAAATACCACCGACAGTTTATGTTCAATTTGAATTCCTTCCATACAAATTAAGACATCTCCCAGCAGGCGAGAACAGGTGCCGCTGACGTTAAATATTTGTGGAGAATTGACATTAAACCAGTGGCGAAACAAAATGAAGAATTTCAACAATTTATCAACATTGACTTCAATATGTTGAAACAAGCACGTTTTTTGTGTGGTTTTTGCTTCTGAACCCCTGAATCTTCATTCATTCCGAAAACCAAAGAAAAAAACTCAATACCTCAAAAAAAGGCTTGAAATATGCCGTTCGGATGGATGGATGGTAGCAGCATGCCATGCCAGTATCCATGGCTCACCGCTCTGCATGCAAAAGATTTCATGTTGAATTATTCATCATTTAGTGCTTGCGTGGAAGGGAGCGAAAAGTGAGTGCAAAGGGGGAGTCCTGTCCCATGTCATACCCCGTTGGTAGTAACAAAGATGAGTTTTTCTTTGCGCAAAGAGAACAACATTTTTGGCGTTTACGCTTTGGCTTTTGCGAAAAGAAGCTGAAGCTCAAGTGATTTATAAACTGACAAACGATGACAGTTGTTAGTTGTGATGTTGGCGTTTTGTTTTGTTCGACAAAAAAGAAGGAAAACCCTACATGGATTTGATGTGAGCCAGGATAAAGCGTAGTTTTCGAGTAGGGGTGGGATTTTTTTTCAAATCATTTTGGAAACCGAGGGCAATAGACCATTGGATAATGAGCAGAACTTATAAACCGCTCTAGAAGTTAGTCGAAACTAATTTCCTGCAGAAAAAAAAATATTTTTTTTAAGAAAACTCACAGAAAACTTCAAAATGTTCTACGAAAAAATGGCAGAAGTCTTCTATTTTTTTTTTTTTTTTGAAGAAAACTCTGCACCCAGGAAACCTATCTTAGGGCAAACTTGATGACCTTCATCAACCCTTTTGAAGTCAAATTCTTCATAAAAATTTACCTTAATATGAAATTTCCGGATTCAAGCTCTTATACATTCCCGCAACGGCTAATTTGGTACCGTTAGGTGCTTTTCGAACAATCATAGTACGCATTTCCAAGTCCACCTCCTTCTTTCAAAACTATATAACAACAGTGGCCTCCATACCAAAAAAAAACCCTTTCTCCAACTACCGAAATTCAGAATTCCATCTCCATCCCAACAACCAACGTCACATTTTGTAACATTTTGCACTTTTCGTACGTTTATAGTACGTATTCCAAAATCACCTCCCTCTCTCAACTACCGACACCAACAGTGACATCCATATCAAATTTCGAGATTCCAGCTCTATCCCTTCACCAATCCGTTGGACTAATGTGACTGGAGTATTTTAGAAAGCAAGGTTGCCGCTAAAAAAATACCAAAGTGTCGATCACCTCAAGCAAGCGCTTCGCAGGGAATGGGTCAAAATACCGCATAACAACATTCGAAGATCTACTGGAAGATCTGGATCCAGATCTTCTATAAGGTGATCTAAAGATATTCTCTGAGAAGTCCTCTAGATCTTCTATGAAAAAATCTACAGATCTTCTATGAGAGGATCTCTAGATCTTCTATAAGAAGATCTACAGAACTTCTATGAGAAGACCTCTAGATCTTCTATGAGAAAGTCTCCAGATCCTCTTTGAGAAGTTTTCCAGATCTGCTATGAGAAGATCTCCAGATCTTCTATAAGAAGAACACCAGATATTCTCTGAGAAGTCCTCTAGATCTTCTATGAAAAGATCTACAGATCTTCTATGAAAAGATCTCCAGATCTTCTATGAAAAAATCAACAGATCTTCTATGAGAGGATCTCTAGATCATCTATGAGAAGATCTCCAGATTCTCTTTGAGAAGTTCTCCAGATCTGCTATGAGAAGATCTCCAGATCTTCTATGAGAAAGTCTCCAGATCTGCTATGAGAAGATCTCCAGATCTTCTATGAGAAAGTCTCCAGATCTGCTATAAGAAGATCTCCAGATCTTCTATGAAGAAGTCTACAGATCTTCTATGAGCACATATCCAGATCTTCTATAAGAAGATCTCCACATATTCTATGAGACGACCTCTAGATTTCTTATGTGAAGATCTCCAGATCTTCTATGAGAAGATCTAAGGGACATCAATAAGAAGATCTACAGATTTTTTTATAAAAGGATCTACTGATCGATCTCCTGCCAGAGAATATAAAAATCTTCTACGAGAAGATGTACAGATCCTCCATGAGAGGATCTACAGGATTTCTATAAGAAGATCTACCGATCTTCCGGGAGAGGATTTACAAAACCCCTTCGAGAAGATCTACAGATCTTCTACGAGAAGTTCTGAATATGTTGTATAAGAAGATCTACACATCCATACATCGTCTATGAAAAGATTAAAAATCTTCTCTCTCACTTCTGGAGCTCTTATTATGACAGATGGCCTAGAAAAGTTTATCCATGACCCAAAGGCTTCCATGCTAGCCGTTTGTGTGGGAAGTATAAGGAGTCGGCCGATATTGTTCATTTTCGCACCTGACCTTGAACAAAATCGGAGAGGAATTTATCTCTCTATGAAATAAAGGATTTTCCTTAAAAATTTGGACTATTTGAGGGATGGGTTCTAGAATGTATCCACCAATGGTTATGGATATAAAACATCTCGTAGCATCAAAGGTTCTGGAAAAACCTTCGGATGTTCAAGATTTTTCTGAGTTCTCCCATAAATTTTTGGCTTTTGGATGCGCGTTACAGTTAAAAAGTATTTCAAAGACTTCTAACAATCTATTAAGGTCTTCTAAGAAAGAACTTGGTTTTGGAGTTAGGTCTGATACCGTCTAATAAGATCTGTCAGTTATTTCCTAGTAGCTCAAGGAGAGTTGAGCTTGAAGGTAGAGAGTTTCCCTTAACTCCTCCTTCAAACTACAAAACACTGACGCCCCAGCAACTCATTCATTCAATCATCAACTCATCATGTTTTCTGTTCAGTGGTTGGTTGGATGGTTAGCTCACTCACTTGTCGTGTCGTGTGTTGTGCGTCCATACAAAAGGATCACAGCAGTAGTCTTGTTCCTCAGCACCAACAAGGCACAGCCAACAGTAGTCGTCAGTCACATTATGAGTTACAAACGTCAAAAATTTGGCATGATCGCCTCGAACTGATAGTGTCACGGTGACAACACAACGCAATGAAGTTGTGTGTCGCAGAGTTAGCGATGCGGCCGGGCGGTTTCAATTTTGTCGCAAGACGTTTCTTTGCGTTTTCATTTTTTATTGTGTGTTTCCAAGTACTGCTGCTGATGCTGCTGGTGGTTGGTAGCTCTCTTGCCACCGGGGTAACAATGTGTGTCACATTATATTTCTGTGATGACAGCATGTGGGCGTCATCTTTATCAGGCAACGTGGCTTGGTTGTTGGTCGGACTAAGAGCAAGCACAAGCACTGGAGCAGCTGTTGAAGCAACAGCATCAGGCCGATAACAACTAATTTAAGACAGCAACACCAGCACCACCACCAACACCACTCACAGTTGGGCAACTAAATTTTCGTTACGTTTTCAAATGATTTTCGCATTCGTTTCATTCATAACACACATACACACTCAAACACATACTTATAATAATAATTATTATGTGTGTGTCATTGTGTGTGTGTGTATTTTAATGATTTCTATTTCAAGAATAATTGAATAGCAAAAAATCAATGAGGACTGAACACCAGCAGCAACAACAACCACAAAATTGAAATTGGAACATCCTTTGCGTTGAAGTGCCACAAAAATTGCCAAATCAAATGAAAATGGCAAAGACGAAGACAATGGAGAGCACAACAATAATAAGACGCTGCGATCCAATTATTTTAACACCCACTCCAAATTTTTTGCTGTCTTCGTCCATGTTGGTTGTTGGTTTGTTGCAGGTTTGAGATCTTATTTAGGCAAGCTAAGTAGAGACTTTTGGTGGTGCCAGCAGAGACAGCCTTATAAATGCCATAATCTAAAGGAGAGGTATAATGAGTATTGGGGGAATTTTGAATAAAAGAAGACCTATGAGAGACATTTCATATATAAAAGATCCGGATGTGATTCTATAGGGAGTATTGACAGAGGAACCGAATGGGTGTATCCTCTACAGACGCAGTTGATTAAGGAGACTCTTTTTATAGGCTTAGCAGAAGGGAGTTCCCTCTATAGACGAGCTTTTTGGACGAAATGAAGGTCATTTTTAGCGGAAGAGGCAATTTTTGGGTGTATTTTTGACAGAGGTAAAAAGGGTATTTTCGAGGATCTAAAAATGTTTTATTTGTTGTCAAATACCTCTTGACGGGTTTAAAAAAAAAGTATTTTTGGGAAAAAAAAATATTTGATGCTGATGAGGGTATTTCTTGCTCTTACTCTTTTTGAAACAGCTCAAATACCTTTTTCGGGTCCACCAAATAAACATTTTCAACTCCACAAAAAAATTCTACAAAAAACCTTTACCAGTCCCACTAGTATTCCTTGCAGCTACCAAAAAATAACCTTTCAGTATTTTTTGGGAGCTGCAAAGGATACTAGAGGGACTGATAAAGGTTTTTTGTAGGACATTTTTTGTGGAGTTGAAAATATTCATTTGGTGGACCCGAAAAAGGTATTTGAGCGGTTTCAAAAAGAGTATTTTTAGGAAGCTGAAACGATTTTTTGAAGCTAATAAGGGTAATTTTTGCAGAACCGAGAACATTATTTGAATCTGATAAGGATACCTTTTGCGGAACTGAGAGGGTATTCTTGGGAACTGCAAAGGAATCTTTTGGGAAGAAAAGACTCTTTTTGGAGAAGCTTAAAATAATATTTTTGGGGAGCTTATAAAGATATTTTGTGGAGCGGAAAGTGTTTTTGGGGGAGAAGAAAAGGGTCTTCTTTGGGAAACCTAATGGCATTTTTGGGGATCTGAAAATGGTATTTTTGGGGATCTGCAAAGGGCAGATGGAGTTGAAAAGGGTATTTTAATGGGTCTTTTCGAAAGAACTGAAGGTGTATATTTTATAGAGCTGTGGAAGGAGGAACTAAATAGGAGGCTTTTTGGGATAGGAGTGTGTTTGTGGAGGAGCTGAAAAGGTATTTTTTGAAAGGCTGAAAGCTATTTTTGGGGAACTGAATACGCCCTTCTTTGAGGAACCGAAAAAGGTATTTTTACGGTATGGGAATGGGAAGCAAATGGTATATTTTAAAGGGTCTTTTTTGAGGAGCTGAAAAGGGTCTTTTGGGGAACTGAAGAAGGAGTTTCGAAGCCGCTGATGGTGTATTTTTTGTAGAGCTTAAGAGGGTCTTTGAGGGGAGCAGAAAAGGGTATTTTTGGGGAAACTGAAAGGTGTCTTTTTAGACGAGCTGAAGAGGGTATTTTTTGGGGGGATGTAAAGCGTTTTTTTTCGGGAGCTAAAGAGGATCGTTTGGGGAACTGAAAAGCGCTTCTATGGGGAGGTTAAAACGGTATTTTTTGAGGGAGCTGAAAATTGTCTTTCTGTAAACGTTAAAAAAAGTATTTTTGGAGAAGCTCAAAGGGGAATTTTTAGAGAAGCTGAAAAGGGTATTCTGGAGGAGCTGAAAAATGGAATTTTGGGTATAACCAGAATAACCTTTTCAGCTTCTCTAAAAATTCCCCTTTCAGCTCCTCCAAAAAACCTTCTTTGGGAACCTGAAAGGGATATTTTTTAAGGTTATGAGAAGCTGAGGGTGTATTTTTGTGGTAACTGAAAAGGGTTTTTCTAGAGAACTTTAAAAGGGTATTTTTGGAGGTGCCTAAAAAGCACCTGGAAAGGGTCATTTGAAGGTGATCTAAGTGTATTTTTAGGGAACTGAAGAACGCGTTTTGGAGGGTGTATATTTGGGGGAGCTGAAAAAGGTCTTTCTAGAGAACATAAAAAGGGTATTTTTAGAGACTCCTAAAACGGACCTGGAAAGATTCTTTTGAAGGAGCTGAAAGTGTATTTTTGGGGAACTGAAGAACGCGTTTTGGAGGAGCTGAATAGGGTATTTTTTTGGAGCTGAAGAGGATCTTTTCGGAGGAGCTGAGTAGAAAATTTTTAGGGGACCTGAAAGGGGAATTTTTAGAGGAGCTAAGGAAGAGCTCAAAATTGTCTTTTTGGGAAACGAAGAGGGTGTTCTTGGAGAAGCCGAAAATATTTTTGGAGAAGCTAAAATGGGTTATTCGGAGGAGCTGAAAGTTTGTTTTAGGAGGGTGCTGAAATAAGTTTTTTGGGGGAGCTTAAATGGGTATTAGACGGAAGATCCTAACAGATCTTCTATGGACAGAAGATCTCCGGTAGACAGAAGATCTCCTGTAGGTCTACTATTAACTGAAGATCTCCTGTAGGTCTTCTGTTGGACAGAAGACCTCCTACTGGTCTTCTATGGACAAAAGACCTTCTGCCGGTCTTCTATGGACAGAAGACCTTCTGCCGGTCTTCTATAGACAGAAGACCTTCTGCCGGTCTTCTATGGACAGAAGACCTTCTGCCGGTCTTCTATGGACAGAGGACCTTCTGCCGGTCTTCTATGGACAGAAGACCTTCTGCCGGTCTTCTATGGGCAGAAGACCTTCTGCCGGTGTTCGATGGATAGAAGACTTTCTGCAGGTCTTCTATGGACAGAAGACCTTGTGCCGGTCTTCTATGGACAGAAGACCTTCTGCCGGTCTTCTATGGACAGAAGACCTTCTGCCGGTCTTCTATGGATAGAAGACCTTCTGCCGGTCTTCTGTGGACAGAAGACCTTCTGCCGGTCTTCTGTGGACAGAAGACCTTCTGCAGGTCTTCTGTGGACAGAAGACCTTCTGCCGGTCTTCTGTGGACAGAAGACCTTCTGCCGGTCTTCTGTGGACAGAAGACCTTCTGCCGGTCTTCTGTGGACAGAAGACCTTCTGCCGGTCTTCTGTGGATAGAAGATCTTCTGCCGGTTTTCTATGGACAGAAGACCTTCTGCCGGACTTCTATGGACAGAAGACTTTCTGCCGCTCTTCTATGGACAGAAGACCTTCTGCCGGTCTTCTATGGACAGAAGACCTTCTGCCGGTCTTCTATGGATAGAAGACCTTCTGCCGGTCTTCTGTGGACAGAAGACGTTCTGCAGGTCTTCTGTGGACAAAAGACCTTCTGCAGGTCTTCTGTGGACAGAAGATCTTCTGCCGGTTTTCTATGGACAAAAGACCTTCTGCCGGACTTCTATGGACAGAAGACTTTATGCCGGTCTTCTATGGACAGAAGACCTTCTGCCGGTCTTCTATTGACAGAAGAATTCCCACAGGTCTTCTAGAGACAGAGAACCTCCTATATATTTGATATTCTTATGATTTGGTCCCATTTTTAGGATTTTTATCTTTTCCGAGCACTTGTTACTGAAAACATAAAATGTTGACATTCCACCACTCTAAAATCCGAACAAAACCCCCAAAACTTCAATTGCCATAAATTATTTGAATTATCGTAATTTTAAATAACATTAATCAAACATTAAAGCCAACAATTTACAAAGCGCATGTCTACCCTTTATTAACTCCATTTCCGAACATGTAAAAAAAAACCTACGACCAACCAACTAACCAAGTCATGTTCCTTCTCATATCAATTTTACAACATCGATTAGAATGTAATAACGATTCAGAATTTGGAGACATAGAGTTGTAAGAATTCGGAACAAACACAATCACTTTTTGTGAAAAAAACAACAACACCAAAATAGTTAAGACAACAACAAGTGATTTGGTCCCCAAAAAGATTGTCATAAACATTCAACTCTCCATTCGGCAATTACTCTCCAGTTGTTCTTTTGATTTCTATTTTCAATTTTGTTTCATTTTTTGTTTGTTTTTCTTTTTTTTTTTCTTCTTCTTCTCTTCGATATTCTCTTTTAGGTGGTACTGGTTCAGGGTCATTATTTGTCATTTCTGCCACTTTGCAGCCGCAACGAACCCGTATTCTTGGCCACATGCACACCGATCGCCATGCCCGAGACCAGGGAGTGTGTGGTGCAGGGTGCCACCAATGTTTTTACCACCATCCACTCCATGGACATGAAAATAGCGCACATTGACAAAAAGTAAGTCGGACTAGTTTCGCCAAAACAAAAAAAAAAAACAACGATTTTATTATTATTTTTTATTTGTTATTTGGCGATCACTACCACTGAGCTCTTGGTCACCAACCAGTATCCCCCCGATTGTGACTCGCATGCGTCCACCAGTGGATACTGGCCTCCGAGTGTCCAAGACTCAGTTGTAGTTTTTTTTCATTTTGGCCACAGGCTCTGTGAAGGTCAGTTATTTATGACTGGATTCTAATTGTTGTTTTTGTGTGTTTTCAATTTCAGTGGCGAATTCCATTTGGGCTATTCCAGAGGTGATATTCAGGGACAATCCTGGTATGGTCTGATACATTCGGATAATCTGCGAGAGGCTCAAAGTAAACATAGACTAAGTAAGTAGAGCTCAGAATTAAAAATTAATTAAACCTTATAAAGGCAGAATGATCGATCTTCTTCCATTAGGAGACCTCTAGTCCTCTTCCATTAGAAGACCTTCTTGTCCTCTTCCATTAGAAATCCTTCTGGCTTTCTCTGAGAAGACCATTAGCTCTTCTGTGAGAAGACCTTCTTCAGCTCTTCTGTGAGAAGACCTTCTTCAGCTCTTCTGTGAGAAGACCTTCTTCAGCTCTTCTGTGAGAAGACCTTCTTCAGCTCTTCTGTGAGAAAACCTTCTTCAGCTCTTCTGTGAGAAGACCTTCTTCAGCTCTTCTGTGAGAAGACCTTCTTCAGCTCTTCTGTGAGAAGACCTTCTTCAGCTCTTCTGTGAGAAGACCTTCTTCAGCTCTTCTGTGAGAAGATCATCAGCTTTTCTGTGAGAAGATCATCAGCTCTTCTGTGGGAAGATCATCAGCTCTTCTGTGAGAAGAGCTTCTTCAGCTCTTCTGTGAGCAGACCTTCTTCAGCTCTTTTTTGAGAAGACCTTCTTCAGCTCTTCTGTGAGTAGACCTTCTTCAGCTCTTTTTTGAGAAGACCTTCTTCAGCTCTTCTGTGAGTAGACCTTCTTCAGCTCTTTTTTGAGAAGACCTTCTTCAGCTCTTCTGTGAGAAGACCTACAGGCCTCCTCTGAGAAGACCTACAGGCCTCCTCTGAGAAGACCTACAGGCCTCCTCTGAGAAGACCTACAGGCCTCCTCTGAGAAGACCTACTGGCCTACTCTGAGAAGTCCTACTGGCCTCCTCTGAGAAGACCTACTGGCCTCCTCTGAGAAGACTTTCTGGCCTACTTTGAGAAGACCTTCTGGCCTGAGAAGACCTTCTGGCCTGAGAAGACCTTCTGGCCTCCTCTGAGAAGACCTTCTTCAGCTCTTCTGTGAGTAGACCTTCTGGCCTCCTCTGAGAAGACCTTCTGGCCTCCTCTGAGAAGACCTTCTGGCCTCCTCTGAGAAGACCTTCTGGCCTCCTCTGAGAAGACCTTCTGGCCTCCTCTGAGAAGACCTTCTGGCCTCCTCTGAGAAGACCTTCTGGCCTCCTCTGAGAAGACCTTCTGGCCTCCTCTGAGAAGACCTTCTGGCCTCCTCTGAGAAGACCTTCTGGCCTCCTCTGAGAAGACCTTCTGGCCTCCTCTGCGAAGACCTTCTGGCCTCCTCTGAGAATACCTTCTGGCCTCCTCTAAGAAGACCTTCTGGCCTTCTCTGAGAATACCTTTTGGCCTTTCCTAAGAAGACCTTCTGGCCTCCTCTGAGAAAACCTTCTGGCCTCTGAGGAGACCTTCTGGCCTTTTTTGAAAAGACTTGAGGTCTTCTCTGAGAAGACCTCCTGGCCTTCTCTGAGAAGACCTCCTGGCCTTCTCTGAGAAGACCTTCTGACCTTCTCTGAGAATACCTTCTGGCCTTCTCTGAGAATACCTTTTGGCCTTTCCTAAGAAGACCTTCTGGCCTCCTCTGAGAAAACCTTCTGGCCTTCTATGAGAAGACCTTCTGGCCTCTGAGGAGACCTTCTGGCCTTTTTTGAGAAGACTTCTGGTCTTCTCTGAGAAGACCTCCTGGCCTTCGCTGAGAAGACATTCTGACCTTCTCTGAGAATACCTTCTGGCCTTTTCTGAGAAGATCTTCTGGCCTTCTTTGAGAAGACCTTCTGGCCTTCTCTGAGAAGACCTTCTGGCATTCTCTGAGAAGACCTTCTGACCTTCTCTGAGAATACCTTCTGGCCTTTTCTGAGAAGATCTTCTAGCCTTCTCCGAGAAGACCTTCTCTGAGACGACCTTCTGGCCTTCTCTGAAAAGAACTTGTGGTCTACTCTGAGAAGACCTTTTTGCCTTTTCTGAGAAGATCTTCTGGAAATCTCTGAGACGATCTCCTGGTCTCCTTTGAGAGGGCCTTCTGGTTTCCTCTGAGATGATATTTTGCCTCCTCTGAGAAGACCTTTTGTCCTCCTCTGAGAACACCTTCTAGCATCATCTGAGAAGGCCTTCTGGCCTCATCTGAGAAGACCTTCTGGGCTTCTCTGAGAAGGCCTTCTGGGCTTCTATGAGAAGATTTTCTGGCCTCCTCTGGCCTTCTAAGAGAAAACCTTCTGGCCTTCTATGAGAAAACCTTCTGGCCTTTTCTGAGAAGATCTCCTGGCCTTCTTTGAGACCTTCTGGCCTCCTCTGAGAAGACCTTCTGGCCTCCTCTTAGAAGACCTTCTGGCCTTCTCAGAGAAGACCTTCTGGCCTCCTCTGAGAAGACCCTATGACCACATTTGAGAAATCCTTCTGCTCTTCTATTAGAAGACGTTTTGGCCTCCTCTGAGACTAACTTCTGGCCTTCTATTAGAAAGAGGTCTTCTCAGAAGACCTCTTGGCCTTCTATGAAATCATCTCCTGACATTCTATGAAATCGCCTTTAATGAGAAAACTTTCTCGTCTTCTATGATCCTGCGCGTTCCTCAAAACTTACATCGAATAAAAAATATTTGATTTTCAATTGTCTTTTTCAGTAACTCAATCCGAACAGGATCGTTCATGTATTCTATTGGTACGCATGCAACGGCGTCAGGGAAATTTTATATGGGTTCATGTTGTGCTGCAGGTGCGAGATGCCCAGGATACCAATCAGCAGCCAGTCATTGTGTGTACCAACCAAGTGTTGAAGTAAGTTGAAGAAATTACCCATTCTCCTCCTCCCTTCCCCTCGAAAATTAATCCACAGATGTCAAAATTTATACCACCCTTTCCCCCCTTTTTTTATCCCTTTGCAGCGAACGTGAAGCCTCTGTGATGCTGCTGAATTCCTGGCTCTATCATTATTACACCGTGCAATCGAAAATACAATTCGGCCTACCCTATGATGGGGGGACTCGAGTGCCGGCCACTACGCCAGCCTCTGGGAATCCTGCTTCCGTCTATTACCATCACCATCACATACATCATCACACGGCTGCATCGGCGTTTTCACCCACCTCTGTGGTGGGTTCACCCTACTCAGGATTGCATCATGCCACAAATCACCATACACATCCGCTACAGCACCAATATCATCCTCATCCGCATATGCCCACACATTATGGCTCATTTCACTCGGGTGGCAGTGGAGAAATGCCCATGAATGGTGCCTCTAACGCTTTGCCAAATCGAACAAATGGTGAGGTGTTAATGGACTCTCCCGATTCTCGTGTGGTAAGTGATACGGGCGCAGGGCATTTACCCAATGGTGCACATTTGAGGTTAGAGCCAGTGGATTATAGTCAATTGGGCGGTGGAGGCGGAGGAGCTGTTTCCAATCATTCCATATCTCCCGCTCGTTCTCCCTCCTCCAACAAATCGAATGGTGCCGATTTACGCTGTGAAAGTGCCAATAGTTCGATATCAAGTCATGTCTCTGCCGCCACCAGTTATACCCTGTCATGTGCCAGTCATAGCCGTGTAAGTCCACCACCAGTAGCACCGGCCAAGCGAAGAGCCCTAGGGAAGCTGGAACCCATTTATGTGCCAGATCCCTGTGAGGAGGGTAGTCATTATGAGATTTGTGAACTGGATCCAGTCTATCATCGCACCCCTGATAGTCATTCTTCGGTGATATTTGCTACCGTGGTGCCGACACGGCCTCGATTACTCAACAAATTATTACCTCCCGATCCAGCCGAATTTATGGATCAATGGAATCCCAGTCCCCCGTGGTCGGAAAGTGCCCAAAAACTAGATAACTCCTCGTCGTCACAACAAGAACTAAGTCCCTGCATAACCACCACCCCACCAACACCAACCAGTGCCCCGCCCACCATGGGTGTGGGGGGAAATTGTAATTCAGGTATAGCTGCCACATTGGGTTCGGCCTTCTCCTTCGAATGGATGCCCGAACAATTGGTGCCCGTTGTCGATGGCTGTGTAACTTGCCTCAATTCCGAAGGCTTGCCAATGGTGATGAGTCATCCTCATCATCATCACCACCAACCCCATTCTCATCCAGCTGCTGCTGCTGTTCATCCCCATCATCATCACTGTCCACCACCACCGCCACCTTGGTCTTCCCACATGTTAAGTTCGGATCATTATAATCACCTATTGAGTACACAAAATCAGCAGAGGATCCTTAGTCTGGGTGAAACGAGCCATAATGAGCACCACCAGGAAAGTTTAGCTGCGGCGGCGACGTCGACTGAGGCTGCCATGAAGTGTGAGCGACCCGATGATCTGCAGGGAAAAAGTGGTAAGTTTTGAAGGGTATTAGAGGCAAATTATAAAAATGTAGATCACATGGTTTTGTATAAGAGCGCAAGGTTTTGTATAAGACCACTTGGAATTGTATAAGACTACATGGAATTGAATAAAAACACTTTGTATTGTATAAGACCGCTTGGAGTTGTATAAGACCAATTGGACTTGTATAAGTCCACTTGGTATTATATAAGACCAGTTGGTTTTGTTAAGACCACGGTATAAGAAAACTTGGTCCAATTGGACTTGTATAAGACCACTTGACTTTGTATAAGACCACTTGGTCCTGTATAAGACCACTTGGTGTTGTATAAGACCACTTGGTCTTGTATAAGACCACTTGGTCTTGTATAAGACCACTTGGTCCTGTATACGACCACTTGGTCTTGTATAAGACCACTTGGTCTTGTATAAGACAACTTGGTATTGTATAAGACCTCTTAGTCTTGTATAAGACCACTTGTTCCTTCATGAGAATATAATAAGCCACTTGTATAAGACCACTGGATCTTGTATAAGACCAATTGATTTTGTATAAGACCACTTGGTTCTGTATAAGACCACTTGGTTCTGTATAAGACCACTTGGTCTTGTATAAGACCACTTGGTCTTGTATAAGAACACATGGTCTTGTATAAGACCACATGGTCTTGTATAAGAACACATGGTCTTGTATAAGACCACATGGTCTTGTATAAGACCACTTAGTCTCGTTTCAGACCTCAATATAATAAGCCACTTGTATAAGACCTCTTGGCCTTGTATAAGATCACTTGGTCTTGTATAAGACCACTTGGTCTTGTATAAGAACACATGGTCTTGTATAAGACCACATGTTCCAGTATAAGACCACTTGACTTTGTATAAGACCTCTTGATCCTTCATGACAATATAATAAGCCACTTGTATAAGACCTCTTAGCACTGTATAAGACCACTTGATCTTGTATAAGAACACATGGTCTTGTATAAGACCACATGTTCCTGTATAAGACCACTTGACTTTGTATAAGACCACTTGACTTTGTATAAGACCACTTGGTCTTGTATAAGACCACTTGGTCTTGTATAAGACCACTTGGTCTTGTATAAGACCACTTGGTCTTGTATAAGACCACTTGGTCTTGTATAAGACCACTTGGTCTTGTATAAGACCTCCTAGTCTTGTATAAGACCACTTTGTATCATATAAGACATCTTGTTTTTGTATAAGATTGTTTGGTCTTGTATAAGACCACTTGGTATTGTGAAAGACCACTGTATACGGCAATTTCGACCTGTATAAGACTGCCTGGTCTTGTATAGGACTTGAATAAGACCACTTGTATAAGACTACTAGGTCTTGTATAAGACCACTTGATCTTGTATAAGACCACTTGGTCTTGTATAAGACCACATGTTCCTGTATAAGACCACTTCTTCCTGTATAAGACCACTTTGTCTCATATAAGACATCTTGTTTTTGTATAAGATTGATCGTTCTTGTATAAGACCACTTGTTCCTGCATGACAATATAATAAGCCACTTGTATAAGACCTCTTGGCCTTGTATAAGACCACTTGGTCTTGTATAAGACCACTTGGTCTTGTATAAGACCACATGTTCCTGTATGTTCCTGTATAACTACTTGACTTTGTATAAGACCACCTGGTCGTGTATAAGACCACTTGACTTTGTATAAGACCACTTGGTCCTGTATGAGACCACTTGATCCTGTATAAGACCACTTGGTCTTGTATAAGACCACATGGTCTTGTATAAGACCACTTTGTCTCATATAAGACATCTTGTTGTTGTATAAGATTGCTTGGTCTTGAATAAGACCACTTGTTCCTGCATGACAATATAATAAGCCACTTGTATAAGACCACATGGTCTTGTATAAGACCACTTGACTTTGTATAAGACCACTTGGTCCTGTATAAGACACTTGGTCCTGTATAAGACCACTTGGTCTTGTATAAGACCACATGGTCTTGTATAAGACCACAAGATCTTGTATAAGACTACTTTTTCTCATATAAGACATTTTGTTTTTGTATAAGATTGTTTGTTCTTGTATAAGACCCCTTGTTCCTGCATGACAATATAATAAGCCACTTGTATAAGACCACTTGGCCTTTTATAAAACCACTTGGTCTTGTATTATACCAGTTGACCTTGTATAAGTCCACTTGGTCTTATATAATATAAGACTAATTGGTCTTGTATAAGACCACTTGCACTTGTATTTGACCTATTGGTCATGTATAAGATCGCTTGGTCTTGTATAAGACCACTTGGTTTTGTATAAGAGAATTCGGACTTGTATAAGACCACAAGATCTTTTCAAAGATCATTTGGCCTTTTATAATATAACTTGGTCTCGTATAAGTCCCCTTTGTCTTGTATAAGACCATACTTTGCCTTGTATATGACTAATTGATCTTATATAAGACTAATTGGTTCAAGTATAAGATCACTTGGTCGTAAAATGAAGCCATTGGTCTTCTATAGAATCACTTGAACCTGTATAGGATTACTTGCTCTTCTCTTATCAGAATTACTGCTCAAATTCCAAACATATTTTTTCTTTCCATTCAATTCTTTCGAATTCTAATATTTTCCAATTTTTTTTTTTTTCTTATATTCCAGATTCTGATCAAAATCGTCAACCCCACCACAAACAAGAAGGTCGATAGGAAACCGATTTCTATTTGGGCTGTTAAGGGGGAAAAAAGTCATAAATTTGCCAAGTATCCTGTTTCTTCCCTTCTCTCCCTCTCTCTCAGCCCTCGTCAATGCCTTAAATCAGAGATTTAACAATGTCCGGGCTAAGAGCCAACAAAATGTAATTTATTATTTTTTTTTTTTTTTAATTTTCTCTAAATGTTTATTGTCTAGTTTCTTAGTTCGTAAATTAGCTTTTAAATTGGAAAAAAAATAGTGCAATTGTTTTTTAAGTTATAAACATTTAACATTTGAGATAAGCCGACAGACATAACGGAAGACAAACAAAAGTAATTGCTTTACTAAGTCCCAATACATATTTTGAAACCTAACAAAGTGAGGAGAAGAGTATAGAAATATTGAAATATTTTCTTTTTTAAATTGTTTACAGATTTTTATATTTTTTCATTTTTGTATATTTTCTATTGTATGAATTTAGAATTCTGTAGTAGTAGAAATTAGCGTTAGATAATAACAACAAGAACAAAATGTAATAAAATTTTAAATTTTATTTATTTTTAATTAAAAAAAAACTGGCGTTTTTCTTACCCTTCCTGGCAAACAAAACAAGGTAAGTAATTGACATTGAATTGGGCAAAATTTGCCCATTCCTTTCCTGGAAAATCTCAATTACGTAACTGTGTGCTATCTGCGTTCGACTTTCCTGAAACTCTAGGACATCTCAATATTTTGGTACATACAGGGTGAGAAGAAAAAATTTGCAACCAACTTCAGCTGTTAAACAGCTGTTGTCCGACAGCTGTTAAAATTTTATTCCAGCAACAGCTCATTTTATTGTTTACAAGCGTACAAAAGCATTTTGGTGAGAATTTTCCAGAAAAAAACTTATTCGTTATGGAATTCAAGCGTGGTAGTGTGATTTCTTTATATTTGGCTGGAAAGCCACAAGTGGCTATCGTTAGAGCACTCCAGCATTTAAATGTGAATACATCTTTTGTGTCTAGTACACCATCGCTCGTTACCGTGATAATGGTAGCGTACCCTTTGGGAAGTGGACGGAAGAAAACAGCAACATCAACAGAAATGGTTCGAAAAGTAAAGAAGCGACTTGATCGAAACCCACGTCGCAGTGGCCGAAAAATGACTTGTGAGCTGAACATATCGCAAAATTCCATTCGGCAAAAATTGAAAAATGAGCTCGAGGTAAAGCCGTTGAAATTCCAAAAAGTGCAAGAATTTACACCGCAGCAGAAAGAAAATAGACTAAAAAGAGCTAAACGGTTGCTTCGCTTGGCCGAAAGTGGTGAACTGCCGAATTTGGTTTTCTCTGATGAGACAAACATTCGTTGTCCAACAGTTTGTAAACAAACAAAATGATGGTGTTTACTTGCCAAAGAGGTCAACTGATGCTGAATGTGCACCTTCGGTTGGCCACTCAAGAATGGTTACAAAATAAGGTTCCTCGCTTCATTCCCAGCGCACAACGGCCACCAAAATCCGTTGGCCTATGGTTCTGGAGTATTTTGGAAAGCAAGGTTGGCACTAAAAAATCCAAAGTGTAGATCACCTCGGGCAGCGTATGACGGTTTCATTGGCCGTTTGAAGGCCATAATTCGTGCCAAAGGTGACCAATTCGAAAAAATCTAAATTTATTTTAAAATTTTCAATAAAATTAAAAAAAAAAATGTAAAAAATATGGCGTTTGACTTTGTTTCAGTTTTTTTATCTCACCCTGTACTTAGCTCGTCCAGATATTTTGGTCTATGTTAGAGCAAGTGTTGAAAAATGCACTCCTTCTGGTGTAAATTATTGAATTTGACAGAGAGACTATGGGATATCGAAGGCGTATGAGGCTGAGATTTTGGAAATTTGTACTAAAAGGGTACGAAAACTAATAAAATGTACATTGTATTGGAATACTATTGGACAAGTGGAAGGAGCTAGAATTCGGAAAACAGGAATGAGAGTCATTGATGGAGTTCAGGGCTGTTGGAAATTCAAACTTTACGAAATGTTACGAAAAGTTCTAAAATGGTACTAAACTTCAACTAAAGCAGTACCATTTGGCATTATGTAAATTTGGAACCGTTTTGGTTAAGGGTGAACAAAGGAAGTTAGAATTTTAAAATTGTGCTTTGGAGTCCCTGTTGGTGGTTAGTTTGTGATAAAAAAGGGGATTTTGGAAACGTGAACTTCAAGTGTACGAAAAGTACAAAATAGTACTATATTTGGTACTATTTGGCCCGGATATATGGGGGCGACATCGGAAATGTACGATGTACGAAAAATACTGAATGTTACTAAATTTAGTCTCGGATGAGGTGACGGAGATAAAAAATTGAAATTTGATATTTAGATAACTGTAGGTATCTTAAATTAAGATTTGGAAGTGTATTTGGAATTGCGTAATATAGTTGTTCTAAATATACTAAGTGGTACTAAATTTGAGTGAAGGGGTAAGACTGGAATTCTCAAATTTGATTTTGAGTTATCTGTTGGTATCTGGGATTGAGATATGGAGATGGTTTTGGAAATGTGTACTATAAATTGGTATTTGGTGAAGGGATAGAGCTACAATTATGAAATTTTGATATTGTGATCTATGTTAAGGTATAAGAATTACAGTTCGTTTTGGCAATGTGTACTACAACTGCTCGAAAAGCACTAAATAGTGTCTTATCGAAATAACCCTAGGTTTCTTTGGACCAAATCCGTTCAAGAACATTTGGAGTCGGTCTAGGAATGTCCGTCCATCTGGCTGGCGCACGATAACATCATATTATTATTGTCAAACTTAGATCGAATTCGGAGATGGGCAATATCGACCTACTCCTTCCGGTGTCTCCCCCACAAAATTATATCATATTATTATAACTCTTACAAAATTCGAAATAAGCATCCGATTCTCTTCAAAATTTTGAATAACTATGAAGTTCATAAAACGCAAAATATTGAAATTTTGATTATTTTATTCGCATAAACTGAAGTGGATACCTCAGTCCACTATATCTGGTACCTCATGCAGATTTCTTAATTTTCCAAAAAAATATTACATTTCTCATATAAAGCTGAATGAAATAGTCGATATAGCCCAAATCGAGAACATTTATATCAGACTTAGGTCAGATACGAAATGGACAACATTGACCCACTTCTTTAGAACCTCCCCCATAAAAAGTCAACTATTTGGATAATCATAACACAAGTCAAAATATATTTAACTAAACGAACAGTGCCTGAAGGTATACATCTGTCGGCAAAACCGGCTGATACTTTTTAACTTTTTTTGTAGTTGTTTTTTTTTTAATCCTCTTTTGGAAGTCCTATTTTATTCCAAATAAGCTTATGGATTTGGGTCCCAAGAAAAGGCCTCTCGAAGGTCTTCTATCTATTGAAGACCTCTGTCTATAAAAGTCTTTTATTTTTTGGTGAACTTTTCAAGGTTTTTTTCTTTAGAAGATCTCCATAGAAAATTCAGACTCTTCTTTGTTTAACTCTAAAGAACTTCTTTCCATGGGAACCATCTGATTGTCTTCTATCGAGAATCTTAATCTATAGAAGAAACCTCGTACAAATTCGATTTATGGATAGATTTTTAGGAAAATAGTTTTTTGTATTCGCAGATTGCTCCATGGTGTTCAAAACTTGCAACGTACAAGTTCATCCTCCATCTTGACATACTCACAGAAAATAGGGGAAAAAGTGAATTCATGAAATATTAACATTTTTGAGTTTTAAAAAATCCACGTTTTTAGAACTTTAAAAATTGTAGTTTTCAGGACTAAGGGTTCTTCCGAAGTTAGTAAACAGTCAGTTCATAAAAAGTCTTATCACAATCCTGGCGTTTGAAATTTGAAGTCTCAAACATTTCAAGTTTTGAATTCTTAAAATTCAGGACTAAGGGTTCTTCTGAAGTTGGTGGACATTCAACGTTTTGGGCCTCGACAAAATCCTGTTTGGAGACCTTCAAAATCGACATTTTGTAGTATTGAAAAATACAAATTTAAAGGATTAAATTTTTTCAAAACTCTTTAATAAATCCATGTTTTGAGATTTTAAAAAATCACGTTTTGAGATCTTAAAACCCTCATTTTGGGCTATAAAAAATCTAGGTCTTAGATCATAAAAACCATGTTTTGGTGTCTTAAAATTAATTTTCAGGGCGTTCTAGAGACTAGGTTTTGTGGTTTTGAAAATTCCAGGTTTTGAGGTATCAACAAATTTTAATTTAGAGCACTGATAGTTGTTCAAAAAAGGTTTGCGATTTTGAAAATCCATGGTTTGGGCCCTGACAAAACCCTCTCTTGAATATCGACATTTAAAATTCTCTTTTAAAAGCCCATATTTAATGGTGAACAATTCTCGAAGAAATCCTTGTGGATCCTTGAATAAAAATTTTCAAAACGCTGATTTTTTCAGTTTTCTTGCATTCACAGATAACTCCATGGTATTCAAAACTTGCACCGCACAAGTTCATCCTTCATCTTAGCATACTCACAGAAAATATGGGAAAAAGTGTGTGAGGTTTTGAAACGGAAATGGGTCCAAGTCGATGGTCCATAGTCTAAGTCCGGATAGTCCAAATTTTTAAATTATCCAATGTGTTAGAATTTCCATAGTTCCTCTCAACAACATATATGTTTTGTTTTTGTTGGTAGTTTGTCAGTTCTTGTTGTTGTTGTTGTTGTATTGTGGCACTCTCGATCCTCAATTCAAGTAATTCACATCCTTGCCACACAAAACCGGCAATGAAATGAAAATAACATTTCTTTGTCACCCGAAAGGTAATTTTTTGGTGGAAAAAGTGAAGAAAACGTGTACAACTTGGCAAAATACTCGTGTTTGGAAAATTCAAATCACATTTGAATGGAGTTTTTTTGTTTGGAGGTTTTTCAATCGGTTGGGGGTGCTGGCATTGGCGCTGTTACATCGCCGAAGGAAAGCCACCGAGCTATAAAATGAAATTCAGTGGAACAACATCGTCGCACAACGACATAAAAGCTGTTGCCATTTTTTTTTTTCTTTTCGTTTCAACATATTTGTGGCACTCGTGTCAGTCAGAGGCCAGTCTTCTTGGCTACTACTCCAGCATTTAATGTAACATCAGAGGACTGCATCTGAGGAGCTTCAGCAGCAGCAGCAGCAAAGGAATGGATGGTCTTTCAGATGGACAGACAGACGAACAGATACAAATGGACAGACATGAATTCAAATAATATAAGCAAACAAAACGACGACAACACCACCACCGAGCAGACAAAACTCACCCTCACACCCAATATGAAAATCATTCAGAACAAAAGGTATGTCGTGACCCCAACGTGAATGCGTTTTTATGCGATTTAAATGTTGCCAAATAGTCGCGAACTCTTTATTATTATTGTTGTTGTAGTTGGCTAATGTTATTGTTATTGTTGTTGTTGT